CTTGACCCGTTCCTGATTTAACCTGTTCAACCTATGTAAATGTATTTTATTTATTTTATTTTTTATATGTATATATTTTTTAAAATTTTTGTAAATGTATATTTTTGAATTTTTAAAAAATCACCGGTTCAACCTTTTGACCCTTGACCTTCTCTCTTTTCTGGGTCAATGGCCGGGTTGGTTTTTAAAACATTGGTTTATATCCATTGCATACGATTCTTGTCAAGTTAAATACAGTATTTAGGTTTGTTCTGTCAGGGTCCCTAATTGGTTACAAATTCTGTAGAGTTGAAAAATAGTTCTTTTCGTTAAGTTTCGTGTTATAATTATAATAATTGCTGGCTTAATTGCTAAAATTGTTGGAAACAATGATTATTCAAGAGTGTTTATTGTGCCATACATAAGCTCCAGGTTTATCCTTATTTCTGGAAAAGCAGCCCCCACCAACACTAGTTCTTGTGTTTCTGATGAGGACTACGACACGAGACCTAGCAAGGACAATGACTCGTTGATCGTGGAGGAAGGACCAATGACAAGATCACGAGCAAATAAGGTCAAAGAAGCCATCATATTACTTGTTCAAACTACAGTGAATGAAACATCGATCACAACAAGTAAAATGACAAGTTTCACATTGAGCTTAGAAGACGGAACAAGAAGAATCAACTTGGTTCAACTAATGGATGAAGGAGCAGAAACGAGAAACGGTGAATAAAACATCGATCACAACAAGTAAAATGACAAGTTTTATATTGAGCTTGGAAGATGGAACAAGATGAATCAACTTGGTTGAACTAATTGACGAAGGAGCTGAAACAAGTAACTATGCGACCGCATAGTAGGCCACATAGCACAAGTCCGGCAACAAATTTTTCAAATTTTGGAAAGAATCCTAGTTTAGTTAAAACTCTTTTTATGGTATGTTTTGATATCTTTTAGGTTCCATTTCGTTTTTAACTAAGTTTTATGGATTCCATAGAAATAAGATTATTCTTTTCATTGTAAAAAATACACAATTTGAGAGATATTATTGCTAGTCATATTGCTTTCAACTCGTTATTTATTGAATTAATTCCGAACTTACCAATAATTAAATTATTGTAGCATTCAATACTTAAGTAAGGTTCATAAGTTTTGTAATTACAGGTCAATATATTGTTGGCGATTGTTTTGGTTCTTTGATTCAATAATTTATTGGGTCGAGCTTTTCAAACGTTGATTCTTAACTTTCTTAGATTCCGTATGTTCAATTGCTACGTGAGTTCACATTAGTTTGTATCAGAGTTTATGCTCCGAAAATCAAGGTTATATAATTTAATTTCTTATTTGTTTTTGTTTTCGTTTGAGTCTTCATCTTCATTCTTTGTGTTCTTCATCTTTTGAGCATTTCAATTTAATTAAAGTATCGACAAAATTCAGAAGTCATTTGTGCGCTAAATTAGTGCCCAAATCAATTCATTTTCCATTTTGGACTCTTTGTTGAATTCTTGTGCATTTAGCCAAAAAATAAAAATAAAAAAGTGTACAGTCCAAATTCAAGAATAACTTTCTTGAATTTATCCTTAGCACTTCCATTCAAAGTTCAAATTCCTACTTTTTTAATCATTCTAGATCATTTTCCCCACTTAATTCTTTGTTTGAACTCCACAAGTGTTGAATTTTTTTTGATTGAGATCAAATTAATTCTTTGTAGCACTTGCAATGAAGCATTGAGTAGAAAAATACAGAGTGATGAGACTAATAGAAGGAAAAAATCAAATTGAGTGATATACGAGTGTACACACGTGCGACAAATATTATTCTAGATTTAGAATGTCTGACATAGACGATCCTACTTTAAGCGGGAAGAATAGTCAAGTCATCATGACGGAGGAGATTATACAACTATTTGAAAAGTTGTGGATGGGGAGGCAATACACCTTGCTTGCTAATTTGCGTAGGGAACAACCTAGAAAAGTTCCTAACATAAGGAAGCAAGATAGGCGGGATCCTAGAGTGGATATTGGTGGTAAAAATGAAGCAAGTAGTGGAATTGATGATGATGCATTAGTGGAAGCTGAAATAGGAAGGGTGGAGAATAAAGGAGATAGGCATGATAGGAGAGCTAGATATTATGTTGGAGATGAAGTTGATAGAAATATGGACAATATTAAAATGACAATTCCTTCATTCGAAGGAAGGAGCGATTCGGAGGTATATTCGGAATGGGAGAAGAAGATAGAACTTATATTTGATTTCCATAACAACTCGGAGGAGAAAAAGGTAAAACTTGCTATCGTTGAGTTTACTGATTATGTTATCATTTGGTGGGATAAAATAGCAATATCTAGGAGAAGGAATCATGAGAGGTATTGAAACATGGAGAAAATTGAAGGCTATCATGAGAAATATGTTTGTTCCTAATAATTACTATAGGGATCTTTATCAAAAACTACAAAGCATTTATCAAGGATCTAGAAGTGTGGAGGATTATTACAAGGAGATTGAGATTTTCCATGACTAGAACGAATGTTGAGGAGGATCGAGAGGCCACCATAGCCTAATTTTTGAATGGTTTGAATATGGAGATAGCTAATGTGGTAGACCTACAACATTATGTGTAGCTGGAGGACATGCTACATGCAACCATGAAGGTGGAGAGACAGTTGAAGAGGAACTGAACAACTAGATAACCATTGAGTTCTAACTCTTCTTGGAAACCGAAGTGGGATAGCAATAGAGGTGATGAGATTGTTTCAAAGAGTAGAACTGAGCTACCAAAGTGAAGAAGTTGCTAGCAAAACTACACCAAAGGAGGATCCCCAACCTCCTAGGAATCGATATATCAAATATTTTAGGTGCTTGGGATCAAGACATATTGCTTCTTAATGTCCAACAAAAGGATAATGATTTTGCGAGACAATAGAGAAGTAGTGTGTGATAGTAATGGTGGTTATGATGACGTGTCGGAATTGGAAGATGCTAGCGAGGGTAAGAAAATGGAGTATGCAGTGGGATAGCCGTTGTTACATATCTAGCTCTTAGTGCTCAAATCAGTGCAGATGACTTGGAGCAACACAAGGAGAACTTATTTCATATGAGATGCCACGTCAACAACAAGGTATGTAGCATGATTATTGATGAGGTAATTGTACCAACGTGGCTAGCACTATACTTGTTGAGAAATTGAGATTAGCTATACTAAAACATCCTAAATCTTACAAATTGCAATAGTTGAATGAATGTGGAGAGGTTAAAGTGAATATGTGAGTGTTGGTGAGTTTCTCAATTGGGAGGTATTATGATGATGTGACGTGTAATGTAGTTCCTATACAAGCCAGACATATTTTGTTGGGAATGTCATGACAATATGATAAGAAGGTGATGCATGATGGACACAAAAATAAGTACAACTTTACTAAAGATGAGAAGTCTCTTACTCTTTCACCGTTAACACCAGTATAAGTTTATGAAGATCAAATTAACTTGAAAAGTGAGGAAGAAAAAAGATTGAGAGAGAAGAAGAGTGAGATCGCTTTTTCACAATAAGAAAGCAAGAGAAAAAGTGAGGTGACTAATTGATGAGAAAAAAGAGTAGATCCATAAGAGAGTAAAGAAAAAGAGTCTCATAAGAGGAAAGAAAAATTGAAAGTGAATTTCTTTACAAAAGGGAGCGAGTTGAAGAGGGTGGCAGTTGAGAACCAACTTATGATCTTGTTGGTTTATAAAGAATCACTCCTCAACTTTGAGGAATCTAAAACACCCCTCCCTAGTTTGGCTACTTCTTTATTGCAGGAATCCGAAGACTTATTTTTGAAGGACATGCATAGTGGATTATCACACATTCAAGGCATTGAACATCAAATCAATTTCGTACCTAGAACTATAATTCCAAATAGGCCAGTATATCGGAATAATCTTGAGAAGACCAAGGAACTTCAAATGCAAGTGGAAGAATTAATGAACAAAGAGTATGTGAGAGAAAGCACGAGTTCATGTGTCGTGCTAATGCTATTTGCGCCAAAGAAAGATGAGACTTGGAGGATGTGCGTAGACTATTGGGCGATCAACAACATAATGGCAAAATATCGTCACACTATACCTATGTTAGATAATATGTTAGATGAATTATATAGATTATGCATGTTTAATAAAATAGATCTTAAAAATAGATATCATCAAATTAGAATGAGAGAGAAACGAGTGGAAAACTACTTTTAAGACTAAGTATGATTTATATGAGTGGTTAGTCATACCATTTGGACTTACTAATGCACCTAGTATGTTTATGAGATTAATGAATCATGTCTTGTGTGCATCTATAGGTAAATTTGTTGTTGTTTACTGTTCGCTGAAAATACACCGCAAGCGCACGGGTCGGATCAAGTAGTAAAATGGACCTTTTGAGTCCGAGTTGATCTCTCGAAGAGTGTTACGTCCAATTACAAGAGAATTGATTCAAATTAACGAAACGACACACACAATTAAAGCTTTTGAAAGTTGAATTTAAAAAGAAAATGATTT